ATATGTCGATGACATATTGTTAATGGGTAACGATATTCCCGCTCTCACTTCTGTAAAGACGTGGTTGAGCGAGAACTTCTCCATGAAAGACTTAGGGGATGCTAGTTATGTCCTTGGCATAAGAATCTACCGAGATAGATCAAGAAAGTTAATAGGTCTGAATCAAAGTACATATATAGATAAAATCCTTGATCGATTTCGCATGTCTAACTCAAAGAAAGGATCTTTACCTATGACACCTGGCACGGTTCTTTCCAAGAACCAGAGTCCTTCTACTCCCGAGTAGAAGGAACTCATGATGAAGGTTCCATACGCCTCTGCGATTGGATCCATCATGTATGCCATGATATGTACTAGACCTGATGCCTCATTCGCTTTAAGCGTGACCAGCAGATACCAGGGAAGTCCAAGAGAAGCACACAGGATAGCGGTCAAGAACATCCTCAAGTATCTTCGCAATACTAAGGATGCATTCCTGGTATACGGTGGTGAGGAAGAGCTAAAGGTGGTCGGTTACACTGATGCTAGCTTCCAAACCGACAGAGACGATTCAAAATCACAAGCAAGATATTTGTTTTGCCTGAATGGCGGAACTTTTAGCTGGAAGAGCTTTAAGGAGGATACAACCGCCGATTCGACTACAGAGGCTGAGTACATAGCTACTGCCGAGGCAGCAAAAGAAGCTGTTTGGATCAAAAAGTTCATTACTGAACTTGGAGTGGTTCCTAGTATTAATGACCCTATCTCGTTGTTTTGCGACAACACTGGGGCCATTGCACAGGCAAAGGAACCGCGATCTCACCAGAAAACCAAACACATTGTACAACGCTATCACATCATACGAGAAATCGTAGATAGAGGAGATGTGATGATTTGCAAAGTAGATACTGACGACAACATAGCCGATCCCTTGACCAAGCCTTTAGGAAAGCTAAAGCATAAGGGTCACACAAGGTCCATGGGCATTCGACCGATGCCAGATTGGCCATAGTGAACCTGGGAGATTGTTGGAGTTGTGCCCTGATGGCCAACTGTTCATCGTTATCTTATCATGTATAGGCAGATATAATATGTTTACACATCTCATGCTAATGTAAACAAATATTATATTCCTAGATTTATATTTAAAGATGTTTATCAGATATTGTTTCTCTGCTGATGAGACTAACATCTTGAAATAAATATTTATCTAAATGTCCATAGTCGAGTATTAACGAGAGTAGGATATCGTTAATGCATGTGAGACTAGTGTGTGTTGGATGTTTGACTTAGTCTCATAGTCAATGACATCGTGTTCGCATCCGCACATGGGCAGATATTATCTGGAGATAATAGGATGCCGGACTGACCCATCCTAAAGATGTTGCTTGAACTCTTAGTTCATGCTCTAAGCATCTTTAGCGCGATCACGGGTGTAACTATCCTTCGACTTGAAGTATTATGTTTTCTGCACATGTGAACCCGCATACTTTGATGCATTGTCCTAAGCCATATGAAATAAGAATGGTATACACGCTTTGTTTTGGGTATGCCGCAGCGCGTATTCAGAAACGTAGATTACGTACATAGGATTTGTCACTACTCTTTTTAAAAGAGATTAATGTTTTATGGGGCCCACTGATAAGTTATGATTGAGGAAATTGCATGGCCATGCTGAGATGTTTTTATGACGTCTGTTCCTATTAGTCAAACTTGATAAATCAGTGAATGACTTGATGGATACAAGCTGGATTTTATTAATCCCTTGCATTAAGTTTAGACATCAAGACAAAGGGATACAGTTACACGGAGTTTGAGTCGTGGAAAGGTTTTGATGGTGCAAACGTCTTAACTTATAATCTGGGGGCAATAATGTGTTGCTAGATACCGCTTATTGCTTATAGTATTGGTGCAGAGCCAATACTGTGGCCAGCTTTATAAGTGCCTATACGGGTCACACACTTTGGACAATTTAAGGAGTAGGATTAAACAATGGGATAATAAGTAATTTGTATATTTGTAAAAAATAGTAAAATAAAATATTTTGGAATATAATGATATATATTAAAATATTCGGTTATATATATTATATATATGTGCCGATTAATATATATATATTATATGTTGAATATTTTATTTTGATTTGTCATTTTAATTATGAAAATAATTATTTTGACATAAACTATTTAAAGTATATTTGTATACTTGTTTAAAAATGATATTGGTATTTTTATTAGATTTAAAATTAATTTTATATTAATTTTTGGTGTCAAATAAAATACACTTTGAACATTTGAGTGGAGAAGAATTTTGAAAATCCTTCTCACAATCACAATGATTTGTTCGGCCATTTTGGATTGAGGAGAATCATAATTTTCTTTGATTGAATTTTGAGTGGGGTAATTATTTGTCATTTAGCTAATGACAAGATTAATCACATCTTTGTTTTAAATATACACCTCACGCACCATTAGCAAAAAAGAAGGAGATATCATCAATTTGTTTTAAGTTTCGGCCATTACATTTTTAGTGAGAGAAAATACTTTATGTTCTATTAATATCATTTTGTGTATAGAAAATATCTATAATATTTTCTAAATATTATTAGAAATATTTTCTATAAGAAATATACAAGATTATTATTATCCCAATTTTAATCTTTATATTTTATACTACTAGAATCTTTACTAGCATAAAGATTGTGGTAGACTCTGGCGTTGTTCGTGTGTCAAAGTTGGAGACCGGACGCTTGAACGGTTACGTTTGCAGTTTCAACGCTCTTGCTACGACTTCTTCGTTTTTACCGCTTACGGAGAAAGGTATAAATTTCTTACTCACTATAAGTTTTAGTACGTGATTCTGGGCAAGATAATCATGTTAGGATGTTAAAATTTTTATATTCCGCTACCTATCCTTGCATGGTTACCTTTCAAAAAGTAGCTTCTCTTACTTGTGGGCTAGGAAGCAATCACGCATAACCCTTCCTACCCGTCCTCAATAATAGCAACCGGTACCCGGACATATTATTCATATGCATCCACTTAGGGAGGCACTATAAAAGAAATCTACGACCGAGACTTAACCACCGAGGACTATAAAGCCATTTACTTATAGAATCCATCCAATAATAGCATCTTGGTATACAGAATACGGAGAAATATTATTATTCTGCTTCTAAAAAGAGGCAGTATATTCTTTCCCGTAATTTACTACCCGAAGGTTATAAAATCATTGTCTAGACCAAAATAATTTGTAATAATATTGAATTCAAAAGAAAATTGGCTATGATCAAAATGGGTGGCCCAAATTGCAACTTATGGCCCAATTAACACTCTGAGTAAACATGAGAATAGAAGTTGATGGTCCAATTTTATAAGAAAAATGCTAGGGGTATTTGGTGTACCCCATTTGTCTCCCACCCCTCCATTACCACAAAAATGGGCAAGAAACCAAAAAAAAAATGGGATAAAAATGAGTGATGGAGAAAGGAGTGGGGGACAAATGGAATAGCATTGCTCATTTTATAAAGGTAAATTCCAAATTGGGAATAGAAATACACCCAATATTTTGTCATTAAAATTTTACGGAGCATTAGGAGTATAAACCGTTGACTTCTCCGTTTCTTCTCTGGTCGTGCGCGGACAGAACAGGAGAGGAGAGAAGAGCCAGAACCGTTCCAGTCAACCTTCTTCTTCGCTCATCTGTGCCGGCTCCGTCGTCGTCCGCATCGTACCTTTCGTGGGCGACGATCGACGATCATACTTTGAGATCAAGGTACGACTGAACCCTTTCTCCATTCTAGTTCAAATAATTCTCCAGAGTTCCTAGGTTTTCTTGCTTCAATTGATTTCAAAAATTTAGGGATTTAGACTTCCGGTTGTGCTAAGTTTTGTACAGAACTTCAATTGAGGTTTGGAATCTCTCAAATTATTTCATAGTCCAATCTGTAGAAAGGTTAATTTCATTAATTGATTGTGTGGGAGTACATGTCTATATATACACAAGTATTCCTAATCCTATACAAGGTAGGAGACAATAATAGGAAACAATATATTTACATTGAATATAGAATATATATTTAACATGTTCCCGGCTACGTCGGATGAGGAGGGGGTCTGATACCCAGAATGGACTTAAACTCAAGGAAGAGTAATGAAGGTAGTCCTTTGGTGAAGATGTCAGCATACTGTGAAGAAGAAGATGAAAAGAGATTTGTCAGATTTGCATCTGCGAAATCCAATAGTCTTAATGAAACCTGCAAATCTGTGATACCATGAGCACGGTGCCTGTTTCAGGCCATAAAGACCTTTCTTGAGCCGGAAAACATGATGAGGTCGATCAGCATCCTAAAGTCCTGAGGGCTGGCTGGGATACACGGTTTCCTGAAGCTGTCCATGGAGGAAGGCATTTTTGACATCTAGCTGATGGATGGGCCACCCACGAGACAACGCGAGGCTAAGGATGATGCGGACGGTGGCAGGCTTAATCACGGGGCTGAAGGTTTCGCTGTAGGCAACGCCAAAACGCTGATTGAATATGCGGACCACCCATTGGGCCTTATACCTGGATAACTCACCGGACGGGCCAAATTTGCGTCTAAAGAGCCATTTACCGGTTATTATGTTTTGGTTGGTGGAGGGGGGTACTAGTTCCCATGTGTCATTCTTTAACAATGCAATATATTTATCACACATAGCAGCATGCCAGTTTGGATCTTTCATAGCACTACGGTAAGTCGGGGGTAAGGGGGAGATGGATGTAGTGGTGTGGAGGTCTAAGATTTGTTTTGGGCAGAAAACACCGGCCTTGAAGCGGGTTTGCATGGGGTGGGCGTTGGCCGGTGGGGGAGGG